GTTAATAAATGACCCACTCGCTTGGTGAGTCAAAGATAATTAACGTCTCACGTCCACATTTCTGTTAAATTCAAAGCACGACATCATCCAGTCCAGAAAGATGAGTGAACCCGTTTTAATGTATGAATATATCTCAGGGTATGTCATACTACACAGTCAAGAGTCGAGCCGCAGCATTTTGCACAGACTGCAACCAGTCTAGGGAGGTTTTGTTTAAACATGTATACAGTGCTGTCACAATCCTCACCGTTGGAACCCATTTGCAGGGAGGCGAGCGAGGCAGGAGTTTAAATAAAAATAATTTATTTAAACAACAAAACAAAAGGCTGTCGGTGCAGCAAAACTTACTCTGGCAAAACAGGATCAAAACAAGGCTGAACAGGACATCAGAGTACACAGGCAGAGCAGATCATCAGGTGGACAAAAACAGACAGGACAGAGGAGGACTGAGATGTCTGTGAATACAGAACAATGACCGGACCAGGAGTGGAGGAGAGAAAGGCTTTTTATAAGACAGAGGGAGAGTGAGTAATGAGAGCACCTGGGCAGGTGGCTGATGAGGGACAGGTGTGAATGATAAAGACTGAGGAGTGGAGAGGCAGACTGAGGAGTGAGTGGAAAACAGGACCAGATACACAGGAACAGAAACCACACAAAGAGCAGAACTACAAGAGCACAAAAAGCAGAGTGGGGAACACAGACACAAACAGAAACAGCAAATGGTACCATCCTTACAAGTGCATTACAATAATCCAGGCGAGATGAAACAAATGCATGAATTAACATTTCCATTTCTGGACGAGAATCAATATGGCTAAGTTTGGCGATGTTACGCAGATGGTAGAAACAGGAACGAACCAGAGACTTAATATGATTTTCCAGAGTAAAACAAGAGTCAAAGGTTAGCCCAAGATTTCTAACCGAGGACTTAGCTAAATGACCAAGAGGTCCAAGTTTCTGCTTTATCACTGCAGTTGTTTTTTCTGGAGCAAAGATGATTACTTCAGTTTTCTCGCTGTTCAGCTGAAGAAAACGTTCTGTCATCCAGCTTTTAACTGATTCCATACAGTTGAGTAAGATTTGTATTTTTGAAACCTCATTTGGTAAAAAAGAGATGTACAACTGAATGTCATCAGCATAACAGTGATATGAGATATCCTTAAAAGATGACAGTATTGGACCAAGAGGGAGCAGATAGATCAAAAACAACAATGGCCCCAGAACAGAGCCCTGAGGAACACCAAAATGAACAGGGCAGGACTGGGATCTGAAAGTAGAGGAAGCCAAGAAGACTGATCTATCGGACAGGTAAGAGGCCAACCATTTTAAGGCAGAACCTGAAATACCAGCCCAGCTCTTCAGCCTGTCCAGCAAGGTCAAATGATCAACAGTGTCAAAAGCCGACGTCAGATCCAGCATAAGCAGCACAGAACATTTTCCTGCATCTCGTTGCATCAGTAGATCATTTGAGACCCTAAGGAGAGCTGTCTCAGTTGAGTGGGATTTACGAAACCCAGACTGAAAATGGTCCAGAATACTGTGTTGATCAAGAGCAGCAGTTAACTGCTGAACCACAACCTTCTCAATAATTTTAGCCAGAAGAGGAAGTTTGGAGATTGGTCTGTAACTGTTAAATGAAGAGGAATCCAAATTAACCTTTTTTAAGAGTGGGTGGATGACAGCACACTTTAGGCAAACGGGTACTTGACCAGAAGCTAAAGAAGCATTTACTATGTTTAGTACACTAGGACCAATGCACTGAAAGACACCCTTAAACAAGCCTGCAGGTAGAATGTCCAGAAAGCAGGAGGATGTCTTCATGGTGCTAACAAGCTTAGCGAGCTCATGAAGGGACACCGGCTGGAAGGAGTCTAAAATAACAGGCCGAGCTAGAGAGGGAACAGTCAGCCCAGGTGCAGGTGAAGGAATATTGTTTCTCACCTTACTGACTTTGTCTATAAAATAAGAAAGAAAAAGTTGGCAATCCTCATTTGAAGAGATGGGAACAGAAAGTGAAGCTGGGGTGGTAATGTCCCTGATAGTATTAAAAAACAATTTGGAGTTTCCTTTGCTCCTAGCAATCAGGTTAGAGAAATAAGTTGCCCTTGCATCTTTAACTGCATTGTTAAAAGAGGCTAAAAGGTCCTTTAAAAACAGAAGATGCACCTGTAGTGCATCTTCTGTTGCACTTCTGTGCAATGTTATAACTGCCAACAATTAGAAACATTCAAACATGCATCTCAGTATGCACACAATAAAGTTGTGTAATTTTTTTTGTAGGAATAACAATGCTTGACATCTCTGAAATGATTTCAAAAAGAATAACTAGAATATTGTGAATAGCTGAAATGTTAATTAAGACAGAAAAAGTAAATTATGGGCATATGCTTTGAAAATCCTTCCACATATTTTATAAATTAGCTGGCCACAGAGACATAGGCTAATTTATTCAGTCACCTTTATATTAGGCTTGTAACTTACTAGAGGGAGCTTCAAAAACTTACAACTGGGGTTATGACTGATGTTAAACTGTTTAAAGTTCTTATTCAAACGAGTACATTTCACAAATGTACTCAGCTGCGTCGAGGTAAACTGAAAGACGGGAAAGAAAGATTCAGTTGGTCACACTGGTCATCTCTGGATCTCCTTCATGTCTTGATCAGAGCTTTTTTGAGCAGAACAAGTAATCTCTGATGTTTGCTCAGGATGGTTCCCAGCAGCTGCTATGATCTCCTGAACGATGCTCTGAGCTGCCTGCAGGCACGCCTGCTCCTTCAGGTGGACTGGAAGAGAAACATCAAAGTCAGACAGGTGGCGGGAAAAAACTACTTAATGCAGTTTTATTACTTATCATTTTCTAGAAAAATGTCTGCTACCTCTAAGTCATATTGAGATTTTAACAGATTTTTTAATATTATGAGATAATGTGTGATCACAAACCTCTGACAAATTTCTTCTCAACGTTTGGAATAAGAAAGCTGTAAACCAGCTCTGACACGATCTCCTCTGACTGAACACTGTCCCTGCTTCTCACACACACACACACATATATATATATTTTTTATTTTTTTTTTTTTTTTTTTTTTGGGGGGGGGGATATTTGTATAAAATGTTTCAGCAAACATATTGAGGTGTTTATTACCTTTCCTCCAAGGCATAAGCCACATCGTTGAGCTCCTTTGCCCTCGTGAGGATCTCCTCTCTGGCCTTCTCCTCAGCAAACCGCTCCACGTTTTCTGAGATGATGTCATCCAAAAACATGTCCACACTTTCCTGGCGCACCTGCGCTACCTGAGACATAGCGTTGAGAAACATCACACACAGGCAAAAGAAGTTTAATAATCTCATGTAAGATTTTTTATTTCATATGTATAAATACGACAAAACAAAATTGACTGACCCAGTATGTTATTTTCAACTCAGTCTGTTAAAGGTGTAACAAAAGATGGCCTACGTGTTGTAAAATCTCGTCGTTTTCTTTGCATCTCTGCTCATCAGTTTGTCTCCTCCCGCCTTCCTCAGCCTCTCGCCGTCGCCTCTCTCCCTCAGCCAGCGCAGTAAAAGTGTGGATCTTGTACTCCTCCTGTTGACGGATGCGCTCCTTGGCTAAGGTGTCGAACAGAAGTGCGAGCTCTGCACCCACCAGTTTGTTGTGAGCTTCTTCCTCCTGGGCGATCTGAAAAAAGCAGACAAAGGTACATAAGATCTGGGAGTTTAGGAATCGTATGTGTGCCTTCTGTTAATTTCACCTTCTCTCTTTGCTCGTATCTCTCTTTTTGCAGGGCCATCACAAACTCTTTGTCAGCTCTCTGTATCTCCTCATCCTCCGGGGTGAGAGGATTTGCCATTAGTAGTTCCTCTATGAGCATCTGATTGTTTTTTACGCCCTCAGTCACCTGTGTAGTGGTATGGATCAAAGTAAACACAGATGTACAGTAGTCCCTCACTACTACGTGGTTTGTTTATCGCAGACTCACTTGATCGCGGTTTTTCAAACTAAAATTGGATATGACACACAATTGGCTGATTGATGGATGAGCCGCGCAATTGGCATGGAATTTTTGTTTTAAATTAGTTTAAATTATTTAGCACCTCTTCCACCTTTGTGCAGCCCATACTGCAGGATAAACTTCCTGCTACAGCTGATCAGCTGTTCTCTGTGCAAAGCGTAGAAGTAGGTGTGGCCAAGGAGCTGAAATCATGACATTCTGTGCTTTTTTAGAGCGTTTAGAAACATTGTTTAGAATATTGCATGAACTTAGGAAGGGTTTAAAACACCTTAATATCTCTCTCATATATATATATATATATATATATATATATATATATATATATATATATATAAGCTACTAGTTACTACTTCTACTACAAAGTTCTATTCCTACTTCACAGGTTTTCACTTATCACGGGTCTTAAGGGTATGGTCCCCCACAATAAACAAGGGGCTACTGTACTTCAAATTGGAACCATGTTTAGACATAAATGTAGGAATCTGAAGAAGAAAAAAAAACACATAAAGCATGCAAACACATACAGACCTCAGACCTGACTCGTATATGTCTGAGCATTGATTGTATAGCAATTATTGCAAGCTCTTTTTCCTCTTCTCCCTAAAAACAAACACAAGCTGGTCAACAAATTACACTTACACAGAATGAACAACGATGAACTATTGCCCCTTTTGCACTGCCCCTAATCAGCCCCAACTCTGCTCAGCCCTGCACACCCCTACTCAGCCTGGCTCAGCTCAGCCTGGATTTGCACCTGCACTTTAGGACCCATTCTGGAGGCGTGTCCAGAATCCAAGTCCTGCTAATGAGAGTTCTGCTCCTCAGATAAATATTAAATTATTATTTTTATATATGAATGTTTCTGTTCAGTGCCCTGAGACGAGTTCTGTTGTGACTTGGTGCTGTATAAATAAACTGAACTGAATTAAATCTGATGAACCAGATTCTACAAAAAACATTTATATTTAAATCTAAAAAAGTTAAGTCTGATCCTCTGGACATTCAAAAAACAAAAACAAAAAAATGTAGAAACATTTCTTCTTTCATCTGAAAGACTTCTTCAGTCTGAGGCGCTGTCTTCAGCTCATAGCTATTTATATAAGACTGAGCTGAAGACAGCTCCTCAGACTGAAGAAGTCTTTTGGATGAAAGAAGAAATGTTTCTACATTTTTGTTTTTTGTTTGTTTGTTTTTGAACGTCCAGAGGATCAGACTTAACTTTTTAGATTTTTCTACCTGAATTATTGAGCATGCATCAGGATATCTATATTTAAAATTCTATATTTTTCTTCATCATTTGATGTATTTGCACTCACTGTGGTTTTGTTTCTTGTATACTGATTATTTTTTTCTTGTTTACAGATTCTTTTTAGCTTTGAATTAAAGTTTAGCTTTGATTTAAAGCTTTAATTTAAAGTGTAATGCTTGTTTAGTGATTTGTACATCTGTGGGTTAGAATAATGTTGAACCAAAGGCTGTGTCTCTTCTTTAAACATGTTTGAGGGAAATATGAGAGATTCAATAATTTTTTGTATTTTTTATGATTTTTCAGTTGAATTAACTTTAATTAACAGATTATTTAATAAAGTCAAAGGGAAAACAGGATTTCACGATAAAGCCGGCACCGTTTATTTATTTTTAATCTTCACTAATTTAAAAAAAACATATTTTTTATACATAAAATGTTTTTGAAAAATGTTTCCACCCCCTGTCCCTCCATCCCGGTCCTCCCGCCTGCCAGGGCTTGAATCCGGCCTTTGTGAGCAGGCGAGGCCGGGGCTCGGGGTCCGGCCTCGCGGGCTTCAACGTCTCGACAGCTCGTATGATCCTTCGCGGTGACACCACTTGCTCGAATTTTATCGTTTATCACCAAACACAAAAAACGCCTGGACTTCAGCATTAAACACGGCGTTGTCATTATTGTTTATAAAATCTTAAAAATAGATCCAGCTGCTACTCCGCATCCAGAGAAATTGCAAATGGTGGCTCAGTGAAAAGTTTCTGAGCTCAAGTGACTCCTCCCCCTGACCAATCAGAGTCCTTCATTCATGTTTGGTCTGGAATCAGCTCAACTGAGCTAAAAATACAAGCTAAAGGGCTGATGCAAAATAGTTCTTTCTGTGGCGGGCTGCCCAGAATTGGGGCTTATTAGGGGCGGTGCAAAAGGGGCATATGAATGACATGGAGCAATTAACTGACCTCTGGAGGGGCTTCTACTCTGGGGGTAACAAGACGTGGAGGAGGCTTCTCCTTTTTGACAAGGAACCGCAGGGGCTTTTCTACCTTGACCTGCTTCTCCTCCTCCAGCAGAGCCTGTTGAAGCATTAATTTAAAATATTTGCGTATGTAACACTTAGGTGATACACTTGAACATGTTTGTTTACCTTGTAATTATTCAGTAGCTCCACAGCTTTGTTCACACGAGGCTTGCACCTAGCCTTGATGTCATCTGACATGAGGCTTGTCCACAGTGGCTTGAGGGATGTTTCCATTCTTTCCAACTCTAATGACAAAATTTATTTTTAAAATGTCCCTTTAAAAAGTGTTAGTCTTTTAAAGTCAGATTCTGTGGATAGGTTAAGAACAATAATATCCCTTTAAAAAGAGATCATTAATTAAACTAGCAAAATAAAGTCCAAAAAAGTTCAATCTGGTCCTCTGGACATTCAAAAAAAAAAAAAAAACAAAGCAAAAAAATATAGAAACGTTTCGTCTCTCATCCAAGAGACTTCCTCAGTCTGAGGTGCTGTTTTCAGCTCAGTCTCTTAAATAGCACC